TCTATAGGGATTACAACTAGAGAAAACACTGATATCTATAGGGATTACAACTAGAGAAAACACTGATATCTATAGGGATTACAACTAGAGAAAACACTGATATCTATAGGGATTACAACTAGAGAAAACACTGATATCTATAGGGATTACAACTAGAGAAAACACTGATATCTATAGGGAGGGATTACAACTAGAGAAAACACTGATATCTATAGGGATTACAACTAGAGAAAACACTGATATCTATAGGGATTACAACTAGAGAAAACACTGATATCTATAGGGATTACAACTAGAGAAAACACTGATATCTATAGGGAGGGATTACAACTAGAGAAAACACTGATATCTATAGGGATTACAACTAGAGAAAACACTGATATCTATAGGGAGGGATTACAACTAGAGAAAACACTGATATCTGATATCTATAGAAAACACTGATATAGGGATTACAACTAGAGAAAACACTGATATATATAGGGATATCTATAGATTACAACTAGAGAACACACTGATATCTATAGGGAGGGATTACAACTAGAGAAAACACTGATATCTATAGGGATTACAACTAGAGAAAACACTGATATCTATAGGGATTACAACTAGAGAAAACACTGATATCTATAGGGATTACAACTAGAGAAAACACTGATATCTATAGGGATTACAACTAGAGAAAACACTGATATCTATAGGGAGGGATTACAACTAGAGAAAACACTGATATCTATAGGGATTACAACTAGAGAAAACACTGATATCTATAGGGATTACAACTAGAGAAAACACTGATATCTATAGGGATTACAACTAGAGAAAACACTGATATCTATAGGTATTACAACTAGAGAAAACACTGGTATCTATAGGGATTACAACTAGAGAAAACACTGATATCTATAGGGAGGGATTACAACTAGAGAAAACACTGATATCTATAGGGATTACAACTAGAGAAAACACTGATATCTATAGGGATTACAACTAGAAAACACTGAAATTACAACTAGAGAAAACACTGATATCTATAGGGATTACAACTAGAGAAAACACTGATATATATAGGGATTACAACTAGAGAAAACACTGATATCTATAGGGATTACAACTAGAGAAAACACTGATATCTACAACTAGAGGAGGGATTACAACTAGAGAAAACACTGATATCTATAGAGAAAACACTGATATCTATAGGGAGAAAACACTGATATCTATAGGGATTACAACTAGAGAAAACACTGATATCTATAGGGAGGGATTACAACTAGAGAAAACACTGATATCTATAGGGATTACAACTAGAGAAAACACTGATATCTATAGGGATTACAACTAGAGAAAACACTGATATCTATAGGGATTACAACTAGAGAAAACACTGATATCTATAGGGATTACAACTAGAGAAAACACTGATATCTATAGGGATTACAACTAGAGAAAACACTGATATATATAGGGATTACAACTAGAGAAAACACTGATATCTATAGGGATTACAACTAGAGAAAACACTGATATCTATAGGGATTACAACTAGAGAAAACACTGATATCTATAGGGATTACAACTAGAGAAAACACTAGAGAAAACACTGATATCTATAGGGATTACAACTAGAGAAAACACTGATATCTATAGGGATTACAACTAGAGAAAACACTGATATCTATAGGGATTACAACTAGAGAAAACACTGATATCTATAGGGATTACAACTAGAGAAAACACTGATATCTATAGGGATTACAACTAGAGAAAACACTGATATCTATAGGGAGGGATTACAACTAGAGAAAACACTGGTATCTATAGGGATTACAACTAGAGAAAACACTGATATCTATAGGGAGGGATTACAACTAGAGAAAACACTGATATCTATAGGGATTACAACTAGAGAAAACACTGATATCTATAGGGATTACAACTAGAGAAAACACTGATATCTATAGGGATTACAACTAGAGAAAACACTGATATCTATAGGGATTACAACTAGAGAAAACACTGATATCTATAGGGATTACAACTAGAGAAAACACTGATATCTATAGGGATTACAACTAGAGAAAACACTGATATCTATAGGGATTACAACTAGAGAAAACACTGATATCTATAGGGATTACAACTAGAGAAAACACTGATATCTATAGGGATTACAACTAGAGAAACACTGATATCTATGATAGAGAAAACACTGATATCTATAGGGATTACAACTAGAGAAAACACTGATATCTATAGAGAAAACACTGATATCTATAGGGATTACAACTAGAGAAAACACTGATATCTATAGGGATTACAACTAGAGAAAACACTGATATCTATAGGGATTACAACTAGAGAAAACACTGATATCTATAGGGAGTACAACTAGAGAAAACACTGATATCTATAGGGATTACAACTAGAGAAAACACTGATATCTATAGGGAGGGATTACAACTAGAGAAAACACTGATATCTATAGGGATTACAACTAGAGAAAACACTGATATCTATAGGGATTACAACTAGAGAAAACACTGATATCTATAGGGATTACAACTAGAGAAAACACTGATATCTATAGGGAGGGATTACAACTAGAGAAAACACAGATATCACAGATATCTATAGGGATTACAACTAGAGAAAACACTGATATCTATAGGGATTACAACTAGAGAAAACACTGATATCTATAGGGATTACAACTAGAGAAAACACTGATATCTATAGGGAGGGATTACAACTAGAGAAAACACTGATATCTATAGGGATTACAACTAGGAGGGATTACAACTAGAGAAAACACTGATATCTATAGGGATTACAACTAGAGAAAACACTGATATCTATAGGGATTACAACTAGAGAAAACACTGATATCTATAGGGATTACAACTAGAGAAAACACTGATATATATAGGGATTACAACTAGAGAAAACACTGATATCTATAGGGAGGGATTACAACTAGAGAAAACACTGATATCTATAGGGATTACAACTAGAGAAAACACTGATATCTATAGGGATTACAACTAGAGAAAACACTGATATCTATAGGGATTACAACTAGAGAAAACACTGATATCTATAGGGATTACAACTAGAGAAAACACTGATATCTATAGGGATTACAACTAGAGAAAACACTGATATCTATAGGGATTACAACTAGAGAAAACACTGATATCTATAGGGATTACAACTAGAGAAAACACTGATATCTATAGGGATTACAACTAGAGAAAACACTGATATCTATAGGGATTACAACTAGAGAAAACACTGATATCTATAGGGATTACAACTAGAGAAAACACTGATATCTATAGGGATTACAACTAGAGAAAACACTGATATCTATAGGGAGGGATTACAACTAGAGAAAACACTGATATCTATAGGGAGGGATTACAACTAGAGAAAACACTGATATCTATAGGGATTACAACTAGAGAAAACACTGATATCTATAGGGATTACAACTAGAGAAAACACTGATATCTATAGGGATTACAACTAGAGAAAACACTGATATCTATAGGGATTACAACTAGAGAAAACACTGATATCTATAGGGAGGGATTACAACTAGAGAAAACACTGATATCTATAGGGAGGGATTACAACTAGAGAAAACACTGATATCTATAGGGATTACAACTAGAGAAAACACTGATATCTATAGGGATTACAACTAGAGAAAACACTGATATCTATAGGGATTACAACTAGAGAAAACACTGATATCTAGGGTTATCTATAGGGATTACAACTAGAGAAAACACTGATATCTATAGGGATTACAACTAGAGAAAACACTGATATCTATAGGGATTACAACTAGAGAAAACACTGATATCTATAGGGATTACAACTAGAGAAAACACTGATATCTATAGGGATTACAACTAGAGAAAACACTGATATCTATAGGGATTACAACTAGAGAAAACACTGATATCTATAGGGAGGGATTACAACTAGAGAAAACACTGATATCTATAGGGAGGGATTACAACTAGAGAAAACACTGATATCTATAGGGAGGGATTACAACTAGAGAAAACACTGATATCTATAGGGATTACAACTAGAGAAAACACTGATATCTATAGGGATTACAACTAGAGAAAACACTGATATCTATAGGGATTACAACTAGAGAAAACACTGATATCTATAGGGATTACAACTAGAGAAAACACTGATATCTATAGGGAGGGATTACAACTAGAGAAAACACTGATATCTATAGGGAGGGATTACAACTAGAGAAAACACTGATATCTATAGGGATTACAACTAGAGAAAACACTGATATCTATAGGGATTACAACTAGAGAAAACACTGATATCTATAGGGATTACAACTAGAGAAAACACTGATATCTATAGGGATTACAACTAGAGAAAACACTGATATCTATAGGGATTACAACTAGATATAGCAATATTTGAAAATAAGTTAAGAGATCCAGTAACCCACTCACTCGCAATTTCCTCTTCGAAGCCCTCCCCTAACCCCAACCCCTCAAAATGTAATAAATAAGTAATAAAAAAAACCCACACCAACCAGAAAGACGTATTTTGTAAATTTTATATAAAAAGACATATCATTGAGCCATGGACCCCGAGTCATATACAAAGGGAGAGGTTTAAAGAAACACTTGCATAATAGATAACGCGATTTACGGAAGACAGGGTCATGGTGCCATGAGTCCCAAATATAGACAGGAACAAGGAGAAAAGCCATTAGAGAGAGAGCGCGCGAGAGCCACCAACACCAAATATAGAACATGTAAATTGCTGTTAAAACGAGTGAGGCAGGTCATAAAGGCACCGACCCTTATTGACAAGGACATATACTAATTAAAAGTTATGGTAGGGGCGAGATGTGTTTGTGCAATTAAACTTAAGAAAGCAATGAATCACCATTACGAGGAAGGAACTTTATATCAATACATGCTTAGGATAATATGGACATGTCTTTATCTCACACTACCTTGCACTGCTGCATCTCCAGCGTCAAGCGCCTGCGTTGTGGGAGATTTAGTGACGGCGATTTGTAGGGAGGGTGCCACGGCTTTGAGTTGTAGTGTCCGCCGGGCGTCTGCCCACGGCCATTGGTTCGTATAGTCACAGAAGAAGCGCAGGTGGGCGTAGCTATCATCGGGTTTTGGACAATTTCCGTCGTTAGGAAAATGCCATGTATCAAGGATTATCTCACCGTATGTTCTGCTATACAGTTTTGGTTCACTGGTCGTGATTCGAATGGCCCCTGTGCAGGGATGAAACTCCTGCGTTGGTGAACCGGGTGTTCTACAGTATGGACGGCAGACACGTCCGCAAGAGTCATGGGCAGACACATGCACATCCGTCATTCCGGTATCGGGCGACTTCACGGCAACATACCCAGTTGTCTTCGAGATTGCCAAGCGGTGGTCTACCATGACAAATTCACTGTACGATCCATAGTTATTCAGGCCATTTGATTCAATAAAAATTTTGCCGGCGTTGTTGTGTGGGTCAATGCATTCGCTGTATTTGGCAGGATTACCTACTGGGAGAGAAGACGCAAGCCCGACGTATGAGGTGGGTGAGTATATGTCACTGTTGACCATACCCTGACCATTAAACACAGGGTAGGAGTGGTAACGCAAGAACTCCGGCGGACGTCTGTACACGATATCTATGGGAATGTATGTCCACTCCCTGATATCTGAGCTATTGCCACTCAAATACTTGTTCTGTACAGCCCCTTGTACAGAGCAGCCTGGTTTGCTTTCGACAGTCTGTACTGATACATGGCGTTTAAACCTCGATTTATTGTCCTTTGCCACCTCGTCTGTTCGTAACGTGACACAGCGCGGTACCGCTTTGTTGGTGTTACAGCGGAGGAAGTCCGACCCGCATGTCGGCCTTTGTCTCAGACACGTTGGCGATGCCTCATACTGGTAAATATTGGCTGTTATAAGGTTACTGTAACCATCGATATTCCTCAGGTTGCCAAACCGCATAGCAGCTTGTGGGGCATGTTGTGACGGACCAAAGTAGGTTGGATAATCCAAGGACGGATCTATCCCAAGCTGTACCTGTTTTTGTCGGAATTCCTCCCATAGATAGTCCACAAATGCGTGATGACTGAAGAAAATGGGGTCCTGAGCAGCAGTGTTCAAGTCATTCATCTGTCCGTTTCCTCCTCCTATCCATATGTGTACAGCATCGTGTGCATCCTCCAGTCGATTTTCTGGAGCTCCACTCGGAAAGGTGATTTCGGAAGTTCTCGTCTTGTTTAGAATTCGACCGATTCCATCATTACTGAACAGTTCTCCGATAAGGCCAATGTTCCTAATAAGTGGTCCACTTTGCGTTTGCCAATTAGCGTACGGGCCGGATGTAACAAATCCATCTCCATTTCCGAAGAAAAGATCAGACCAGATCACTGACTGTGTCCGCTCAGTTATATCTAGTTCGTTGTCTAAGGATGAAGCCCAGTAGGGGATGGTAACTCCTGGCACTACCTGTCGTAATGCATTCTCGTATCTTCAAATATAAATACAACAGAAATTAATTTAAAACCAAATTTTGCTTTCTTCAGTGTTGATTTCATAGAACATGTAATTTCTAAGGATATTCGTGAAAACATAGGATACCGTTTGTCACTTAAAGCTACCTAAAGCAGCGTTTGCACGGATATTACTATTTATAAAATGGCAAGTATGAAATTGATAAATGTTGCAAATGACAAGCTTCTGGAATGGTTAAAAACGGTTATAACAAACAGGCAAGTAGTTGCACGTTTTAATGTCAGCCATTCTGTTATTTATCGGTTGATGTAGCGCCTGAATTACCCCGAACGTGTTAACGAGTGTCTCATGTCTCACTTTGAAAGGTTATAGATAGAGAAGATGGAATCCTCTGAAGACAGGCAAGGCGAGCCCCATCCACCATTTCATAAAGGCTCAGAGGACGGTGGAACGTTGATGTCCGCGTTGGGAGGAGTACCGTCAAGAGACGTTTGAACAATAGGTGAATTCACTCTCACCGACTAACAAAACGTCATCTGTTGACTGAACGGCAAACATAGCCATGACTGAAAAGGACACGTGATCGCCGGATATGGAATATTAGGTCAATATTCCACCGGTCTGATGAAACCTACTTTTTACCAGACAGACCAACAAATACGGCATATCATCAGAATGACAGCATTTGGTGCTGGCGTTTCTGATAAGGGAAGCTTTTTCTCTAAATTGAAAGCTTCATTTCCTTGTCGTTGACGAAACTTTAATCAGGCAGAAGTACAACGATTAGATCCTCCGATTTTTTATTGATCTGCTTTCCGATACCCATCTGTTGGCAGATCGACCTAGACAATGCCAAACCACTGAAGTTATCGAAGAGCGTATCAAGACTGGCAACAAAAGCCTTGCAAAGTCTTTTCATGTTACTTTTAGATCTACTAATGACGTTTTGTCTTTAAATAACAAGACATTTATTGACCAGGTCCATCGTATATACCCACCAGAACTGGAAATCAAGAACACAGCAGGTTTTTCTCTGTCAACCGCTTAAATTTATCTGTTCTTACAAGGAAACCAACATGGACAGCTTTTCATCAACCTGTAGATAAGCGTGATGCTTTCAATTTCCGTATTGAGAATTGTTCATTTTTGGTTAGCAACATTCCTGCACTCCAAATCTGTGGTATTTACACACTACTTTTGGTTCGATGTTCAAGAGCCTGTTCCCAATATCACGATTTTCGTGATCCAAGTTGATGAAAAATTATTTAGAAGTTTTACAATCGTAATAGTGATGTCATTAAAAAATATTCTATTGCTTTGCGCGATATGAATATGGACATATTTGATGTTCGTTAGTTTGCCTGTTGGTTGCGTTTTTGTATATCTTGTTCTCATTTCAGAACGTGACATAACTTACTTGGATTGACCAAGATCTATATGGCGAGTATCATCGATGAAGCAGAAAACGCTTATTCTTCCGGAACACATGGACTTATTTACTTGTAGTTTTTCGTGTAATTCTTTATTTTGTTCATATTTCGTTTGATTGAATTTGTGTTTGGATTAGGATTATATTGAGTTGTTGGCATTTTCTTGATCAATGACATACGTACTCTAACAGATTCACAAACGATATAAACACTTCGCGTCGGGATTTCAACGCCTTAAAGATAGGATCAAGATCCCTCGGGAATAAAAACCACTAACAAGGAAAAATAGTACATGTGACATTTACCTTAACCTCACATCACGGAAATTCGAGCTCGTTTGATATATAACATACTTTCGTAAATGTGTGAAGTTTAATCCCGTGAAAAAAAACCCACTTAAGTGATGGCGAGGATAAGTTTTACGTTACGGAGAATTCCCATATCTTGTCTCTGACAGCAGTCGTCAGGGAAAAACAATGAAGAACATAACATGTCCTATCGTTAGTATACATAATACTATTGGAAAATACAATTACATGAAGTTAAATCTGCATTACACTACACGGGAATATAAGTATGATTATTTTTATAAACTTAAAGGTTACTTACATAATGAGAAAGACTCTGTGCCATCCGAGGAAGTTTGGACCCCTATGAGATAGTGGAATAGCGTCCCCTCGGTGAATATTGGCTATGAAGTCATATCTTGTGGTGTTTGCTATCTGTAAGAAATAACATTTTGGCACATTGACCGGAGATCGTTAACTTCAAGCGAAAGTACAATGTAACGATAAATAGCAAGACATAGCTACCTAATTTTCATTAAATTTTAGTAAGTTAATTATGTTATGAAATAGAAGTTGAAGGTAGAGACAACTGGACAACTTTCGTCGGAAGATATCAGCATAATTATAGTATAGTAGGTCTGTCTCCTTCAGACTTATATTGTCTTCTGACAGAAGTTCAGTTATCTCTTCCCCTATTTCAGGTAGTTTTCAAACTAGACTCTGTATTCCTAAGGAATCCGTTTACAAAAACGACATTAGATATATTTAAGTTGGATTTTGATTTCTTTATAGAAATGGAACTTAATATTACGGAAGAACAACTTTACTATGTCTAATGTCATTCATTGCAAGATATATTTCGGGGCATAACATCTAAAATATTATAACATTCTAGAGAAATTAAGACACAGGGCATCTATTCCAACATACATGTTCTTTCGAATGTATATGGCTCCTATATCTACTAAAGGTTCCGTGACTTCTATATCTACTAAAGGTTCCGTGACTCCTATACCTACTAAAGGTTCCGTGACTCCTATATCTACTAAAGGTTCCGTGACTCCTATATCTACTAAAGGTTCCCCGACTCCTATATCTACTAAAGGTTCCGTGACTCCTATATCTACTAAAGGTTCCCCGACTCCTATATCTACTAAAGGTTCCGTGACTCCTATATCTACTAAAGGTTCCGTGACTCCTATATCTACTTAAGGTTCCCCGACTCCTATATCTACTAAAGGTTCCGTGACTCCTATATCTACTAAAGGTTCCGTGACTCCTATATCTACTAAAGGTTCCGTGACTCCTATATCTACTAAAGGTTCCGTGACTCCTATATCTACTAAAGGTTCCGTGACTCCTATATCTACTAAAGGTTCCGTGACTCCTATATCTACTAAAGGTTCCGTGACTCCTATATCTACTAAAGGTTCCGTGACTCCTATATCTACTTAAGGTTCCCCGACTCCTTTACCTACTAAAGGTTCCGTGACTCCTATATCTACTAAAGGTTCCCCGACTCCTATACCTACTAAAGGTTCCGTGACTCCTATATCTACTAAAGGTTCCCCGACTCCTATACCTACTAAAGGTTCCGTGACTCCTATATCTACTAAAGGTTCCGTGACTCCTATATCTACTAAAGGTTCCGTGACTCCTATATCTACTAAAGGTTCCCCGACTCCTATATCTACTAAAGGTTCCGTGACTTCTATATCTACTAAAGGTTCCGTGACTCCTATATCTACTTAAGGTTCCCCGACTCCTATATCTACTAAAGGTTCCCTAACTCCTATACCTACTAAAGGTTCCGTGACTTCTATATCTACTAAAGGTTCCGTGACTCCTATATCTACTAAAGGTTCCCCGACTCCTATATCTACTAAAGGTTCCGTGACTCCTATATCTACTAAAGGTTCCCCGACTCCTATATCTACTAAAGGTTCCGTGACTCCTATATCTACTAAAGGTTCCATGACTCCTATATCTACTAAAGGTTCCGTGACTTCTATATCTACTAAAGGTTCCGTGACTCCTATATCTACTTAAGGTTCCCCGACTCCTATATCTACTTAAGGTTCCCCGAATCCTATACCTACTAAAGGTTCCGTGACTCCTATATCTACTAAAGGTTCCCCGACTCCTATATCTACTAAAGGTTCCTAAAGGTTCCGTGACTCTATATCTATATCTATATCTTAAGGTTCCGTGACTCCTATATCCTTAAGGTTTACCTACTAAAGGTTCCGTGACTTCTATATCTACTAAAGGTTCCGTGACTCCTATATCTACTAAAGGTTCCCTGACTCCTATACCTACTAAAGGTTCCGTGACTACTATACCTACTTAAGGTTCCGTGACTCCTTTACCTACTAAAGGTTCCGTGACTCCTATATCTACTAAAGGTTCCGTGACTCCTATATCTACTAAAGGTTCCGTGACTCCTATATCTACTAAAGGTTCCCTGACTCCTTTACCTACTAAAGGTTCCGTGACTTCTATATCTACTAAAGGTTCCGTGACTTCTATATCTACTAAAGGTTCCGTGACTCCTATATCTACTAAAGGTTCCGTGACTCCTATACCTACTAAAGGTTCCGTGACTCCTATACCTACTAAAGGTTCCGTGACTCCTATACCTACTAAAGGTTCCGTGACTTCTATATCTACTAAAGGTTCCGTGACTCCTATATCTACTAAAGGTTCCCTGACTCCTATACCTACTAAAGGTTCCGTGACTCCTTTACCTACTAAAGGGTTCCGTGACTCCTATATCTACAACAGATTTCCTGACTTTATATTTGACTTCATATACGTACTAATTCTAACGTTGGACTTTGTATTTGATTGAAAACCTACAGGTATTTGTTTCAGTAAGTTCACAGCTCGATGGTAGTTTTCCCGCTCCGGATTGCTCATCCGTCTGTATTCACGACGTACGCGTGGCATAGGACTCTGTCGCTTTGTTCTTCCTTTTAAGGCAGGAAGTGACGTAATGCTCTCTATCCAGTGCTGATCTGCGAGAGTTATATTTAGACTGTCCTGTTCTATGAGATTCCATATATACATTTGCATACATTTCCAGTGTATATTATATCCGACAGAACGAGTGATTTCCGACGTCCGCCGGTAGGTGTCGTAACACTGCAGAATTTTCTCGTCAATGTTAATTTCCTCTATTTTGCCTTGCGCTGCTAGAGTTAACAGGACCAGAGCAGTGACGACTCTTACTACCACCGACAACATCCTCAGTGTTATCACTGAAAGATGAAAACAAGTACTTACATGTTGAACGCTTTCAAGTGATAATTGGCATGGTTGTAAACTATCTAGCTAATTGATGTTACTTGTATCAGTAAAACAGTTAATACATTTCAACAGAAAAAATTACCATCAAAATTTATTCACTCAATCTTTGTATAGATCATTGTATCAACACTTCATTATTTTGTAGTTTGATTGATAATCCATATTTCTGAAGTGAGCACTACAAAGCACAGTAAACATTACTATATTCTGTACATTGAGCAGTACAGTGACCACAACAGTGACCACGACAGTGACCAGTACAGTAACAAGTACAGTGACCAGTACAGTGACCACAAGAGTGACCACAACAGTGACCACGACAGTAACCACGACAGTGACCACGAAAGTGACCAGTACAGTAACAAGTACAGTGACCAGTACAGTGACCAGTACAGTAACCACAACAGTGACCACGACACTGACCACAACAGTGACCAGTACAGTGACCAGTGTAGTGACCAGTGTAGCGAAAAATTATATGACAAGTAGAGTGAACATAACAGTGACCAGTGTATTGACCAGTACAGTGACTAGTGTAGTGACTAGACATAACAGGGACCAGTGTAGTGACTAGTACAGTGACCAGTGTAGTGACCAGTACAGTGACCAGTACAGTGACCAGTGTAGTGACCAGTACAGTGACCAGCACAGTGACCAGTGTAGTGACCAGTGTAGTGACCAGTGTAGTGACCAGTGTAGTGACCAGTACAGTGACCAGCACAGCGACCAGTGTAGTGACCAGTGTAGCGACGAATTATGTGACAAGTAGAGTGAACATAACAGTGACCAGTGTAGTGACCAGTACAGTGACCAGTACAGTGACCAGTACAGCGACCAGTGTAGTGACCAGTGTAGTGACCAGTGTAGTGACCAGTACAGTGACCAGTACAGCGACCAGTGTAGTGACCAGTGTAGCGACGAATTATGTGACAAGTAGAGTGAACATAACAGTGACCAGTGTATTGACCAGTACAGTGACTAGTGTAGTGACTAGACATAACAGGGACCAGTGTAGTGACTAGTACAGTGACCAGTGTAGTGACCAGTACAGTGACCAGTACAGTGACCAGTGTAGTGACCAGTACAGTGACTAGTGTAGTGACTAGACATAACAGGGACCAGTGTAGTGACTAGTACAGTGACCAGTGTAGTGACCAGTACAGTGACCAGTACAGTGACCAGTGTAGTGACCAGTACAGTGACCAGCACAGTGACCAGTGTAGTGACCAGTGTAGTGACCAGCACAGTGACCAGTACAGTGACCAGTGTAGTGACCAGTGTAGTGACCAGTACAGTGACCAGTACAGTGACCAGTGTAGTGACCAGTGTAGTGACCATTGCAGTGACCACAACAGTGACCAGTACAGTGACTAGTGTAGTGACTAGACACAACACTGACCAGTGTAGTGACCAGTACAGTGACCAGTGTAGTGACCAGTACAGTGACCAGTACAGAAACCAATAGAGTGAACACAACACTGACCACAACAGTGACCCAACAGTGACCAGTACAGAAACCAATACAGTGAACATAACAGTGACCAGTGTAGTGACCAGTACAGTGACCAGTGTAGTGACCAGTACAGTGACCAGAAGTGCCCAGTACAGTGACCAGTACAGTGACCAGTACAGTGACCAGTGTAGTGACCAGTACAGTGACCAGCACAGTGACCAGTGTAGTGACCAGTGTAGTGACCAGCACAGTGACCAGTACAGTGACCAGTGTAGTGACCAGTGTAGTGACCAGTACAGTGACCAGTACAGTGACCAGTGTAGTGACCAGTGTAGCGACCAGTAAGCTGGAAAGTAATCAGAATGATCCTTACAATGATAATCACTGAACTGTGAAGTGATCTGTAGAATGACCAATAAGTGACCTGTGACTAGTAAATGACCTGTACAGTCCGGTTAACTGTGAAGTGATCTGTAGAATGACCAGAAGTGACCTGTGACTAGTAAATGACCTGTACAGTCCGGTTAACTGTGAAGTGATCTGTAGAATGACCAATAAGTGACCTGTGACTAGTAATTGACCTGTACAGTCCGGTTAACTGTGAAGTGATCTGTAGAATGACCAATAAGTGACCTGTGACTAGTAATTGACCTGTACAGTCCGGTTAACTGTGAAGAGATCTGTAGAATGACCAGTAAGTGACCTGTGACTAGTAATTGACCTGTACAGTCCGGTTAACAATATGTTGACCAGTGCATGACCACTCCAGTGGCCGAAATAGTCTGTAGTATATCAATCGTTGTGTAACACCTGGGCTGTGGCCAAGGCTACGGTTGGTGTTTAATGACTCACGTTCATTGTACACTGTTTACGTAACACAAATACATTTTCACGATAATTTGATATTTTTTTATCTAATATCAGTTTGTCTTATCTTTTATCTTAATTATGACAAGAAAACAAAGTCAACTTACCATTGAGATGTACGATTCTCCATCAGACAGAAGACTGACGACGGCAAACAATAAGGTAGAGCCCTGGAGGGCTAGTAGTAAACCCGTCAGTCCGTCACGATCCCTACAGTTCTCTTGGGCCGTGTGTACCTTGATAACCTCAGGTAAGGTTTTTCGGTATAAATGACGCAGAATTGTCAAACATATGGCTTCGGTAATATCATACAGTTTGTATGTACACTTGATGTCCAGGTATGTGTACCCTGTCCACTTAACGACAAATTACCATTGTTCTAATGTTTCATAATAACGGAAAATCTTGTATTGAAACCGTCACCAATTTGTCGTAAATTTAACTTGATTAATAATAATAATAATAATGATAATAATAATAAGAACACGGTCCTCTTATTAGTAAAACATACATATACATAAATGGATATGCAAAAACAACAGATATGGATAAAAATAATAAGAATATATAGATATTTAATTTTATATACACAAACATACATTATTATCTATTTGAAAGATGTGATCAAAACAGAATCTAGGAAATTGTCTTAAATTCAAGTAAATATTTGACCAATTTTCTTTTAAAAGCGGTAAAAATAGTTGATCTCCTTAAATTCAAGAGGTAAAACATTCCAGTCTTTAACACTAAATGTAAAAACTGGTTTGAGTAAAAGAACAGTTTTGTGTTTTGGCACTAAAAAGTTGTCATCACAGACATATCTTGTAGCTCTACTGTGACTACTTCTAACTAAAATACATTGCTGGATAAGTAGTCCGTGAATTCTTCGTGAAGACGTTTAAAATCATACATAGTTTTCTAAATTTAAAGTAATTATCGATAGGCGTCCACTGTAAAATTTCCAATGTACGTTAAGAATCATTGTGGCTACCTGTTTCTGAGCCTTCAGGAGCTTACCCTTTAAAAATCAAAGCGCCCTGACCGTACTGTACTACAATGTATATATAATGAGGGAAAATACAAGCCTGGAAAAATCCGAGTTTTCCTTCCATGGGTAGATATGGACTTATACGACGCAACAGGCCCAAAATAGACGAATTATGATCTGACAATGTCAAAGAATTATCAATAACCCAGTACTTAACCTCTTACAACCTGTTCCGGAGATTCATTACACAGTGTAAGATCTAGAATTAAACGATTTCTACTTTCTGTTTAGAACCTATACAAATATACATTTTTTTTTTTTTTGCATTTTTGTTTGTTTTTTTTTCTTTGCATTTCAAATTATCTTCTTTTCAACACACCATATATGAACATTGGTTAAATCAGAATGTAATTGCTTTTAATATCGTCTAATGATTTTCCAGCAGAAGATAAAGTAGTGTCGTCTGCTCACATATCTGTATCAGCCTTCACATTTAATGGCAAATCGTTTATGAAATCTAGAAACATCAAATTTAGATTGATTGAAATCAAAAACACGTAACCATATGATATCAAAATCATCAATAAATCACTGTGTTGTCAACACCATCGATATACTTGTATTATATTACGTGACGAACTCATCAATTGGAAAACAGGATGCCTATCAGACCGCCTCTCATTTGTTTCAAGTAGAACTACACGTATATGTACAGATCACCGTCACTCAACAAAATATTGCTGGAAAATGGAATTGGAGATATATATATACACAAAAAGTCAGCTTCGCAAGGACTCCCGCTGTAAACAGCTCTTCAGACGTCTGAATGAGTCCATTCAGCGGAAACCTGTAGTTAATGGCGTAATACAGTGCACAACTTCGAAGCGTTTATGTCCATAGGCAAGCTAAAAACCTGACGGATATACATTTTAATTGGTAAAAAAATCATAATTTGAAATACCATACGATGCGGTTTCAAGATACAGCGAATTTGAAAATCGACAGTCAAAAGTTGCAGTGATGGAACTCTTCAAGTCACGTCATCTTTAATTGAACTCTTCATGTGACGTCATCTTTGTCGATGGCTCTTGTCGTAACACATTGACCGATTAAACGGACATGATATAAACGAACATGTTCATATGAAGCTTATTGCTTTCGCAAAAACAGCCTATATGGCGAGTTTCAGGCAGAATAGCTTTAAACGGATTATGAATCCAGAAATAGATTTTTTCTCAGGAGGCTTAATAACGCTAAGTAGCGTGCGTTCCATTGGTCTACTGAAGATTTCACATGAAAAAAAGAAATTACACGTTATCTGAAATTCGTCAGTATTCATATATCTCTCTATAGTAAAATTGTGGAGATTGTGACAGATTCTTTCACTTACAACAAAATAACTGTAGATTTTAATGTCGAAATTAATATGTATATACAAAACATGAAATGGCAAATGAAGATCCAGTCCAAATTGTTAATCTCAAGATATAAACATAGAGTCGGTAATTATGTCCCCCTCCCCATTAAAGAGGTGTGACTGTAGGTATACAGGCACTCAACCATAACAGTGATAAAATCACCATTCAAAATACTTGATATCATGTCGGAAAATAGTTTTTTTTTAAGAACTTTGGAGATTTTCT